ACTTTTGAGAGGGATGCATGGATGGCTGAAGCGTCCTAGATGGTTCTGAAACATGACATTCCCTTCTCTGCAGATCACTGCTATGGGAGTTAGAGTCTGCAGAGTCATGAGAATGGCTAGCTCCAGGCTTGCTTGTGCCAGTGATAAGAGGCTGCATGAGTTCAGAAAGAAAACTGGGATGGGTATGCAAATTGTTACAGCACACACACACCACTGTCAGGAAGCTGCCTGTGTCCGGGGCCAGTTTGCCAGTCTGAGCATCATGTCTGCTCTTGGAAAATTTAGAGAAGGTTCAGGCAAGAAGGGTTTCAAGGGTTGAAAAAATATAGTCTGCAACATAGCCTCTTCCAAACATTTCTCTTTATTTCTTTGATAAAAGAAGCTTGAAAGTGCTAAACAACAGTCAACAAACACATAGCCTGAATAAGTAAAAAGAAATTAAAATGGAATAATTGTTGTTTTGTTGTATTTTATAAAGACAGCATGGTCTGGGTATAGATGCAGCTTACACATATGCACTCAGGTTTACATTGTGGGTTGATTATTGTAGCTCATGTATATTTAAGTCAGTTGATTTGTCTCATTTGGAGCTTAGTTCCCAACCTCACACAAGATCTTGAACTTAACACTATTTATTCTAGAATTCAAGATATTAGATGAAAGCAGTAAAGGTTAGAGGACCTGGGCTCTAGCCTTAATTCCATTACTGCGTCACTGTGATTCAAGAAAATTACTTGAACTCTCGGAGCTCTCATTACCTGATCAGTAAAATGGAGACTGTAGGACTTCCCCGCTCCTGAGGGTGTAGCCTGAAGGGGGTTTGCTTGCCATGGAGCCTGACATGGAACTCTCCTCTAGCTTACCTACTACATTCTTTCTGCAACAAAACCCTAGGCCCACATGGTAGAGGCAGGGAGCAGTCAATCCAGATTTATCGTGCTTTTCTTTTTGTGCTGGAACCCAGGTAGATGCTTCATATATAAGATTCTATTTAATCTTCCCAGCCATCCTGAGAACAGGGGTTGCTGTCCCCATTTTACACGTAAGACAACTGAGGCTGGTAGTTGGAGCAGCTTGCCTTTGCTGTCTCACGTGTAAAATGGGGACATCAACACCTGGCAGGGAAAAGAGCAACTGGGATTCAAACCCTGCCTTCCTTCCACCAAAATACAAGCTCCTTCCTGACTGTCATGCTGCTTCTGTCATTTCTAAAAATTAAAACAAACAATGAGAGTAAAGTTAGGGGACAGGTTCAGATTCTCAGACTCTTACAGCTCTGCAGATTCAGCAGGGTGTGTCTTGAGAGTCTCAAGAAGTTCTCTTGGAAATTTTTGATAAAATGTAACTAGTAATGGCATATAACCTCTTTAGTAAAGTAGGGGAATAATATTAATTTTTTTTATTTTTTATTCTAGAGACAGAATTTTGCTCTGTTGCCCAGGCTGGACTCATTAAACTCTTGGGCTCAAGTGATCCTCCCACCTCAGCCCCTGAGTCGCTGGGGCTACACGCCTGTCTCTTAATCAAAATTCTTGATGAAAATTTGTATGTGAAAATATGAGCAGAATGAGTGGCTAAAGAAACTGAGAAATATCCAGAAGCCAAGATGGTTTCTGGTCAGCAATTTGAATGTTCCCTGAATTGAGTAATCCAGGGGAAAACTGCTCTTTAAAAAAGTACTTTGTTGTGTGTGACTTTTAATGAGATAATAATTCAGAACAGAATTAAAAGTTACACATTTGTTAGTAGACTTTTTAAGAGAACAAAAGGGCCATGGCTCGTATTGAAACAGGGATCGGATTTGTGACCCGGTGCCTCTTTCCGTGAAAGGTCTTTGACCATCCAGGGATGGACATTATTTCAGCATTCACTTCACATTTTAACATGTCTTACATGTGAAAAGCTTACAGGCATTTTGATGCCTAAATTATAAATGCCCTTTGTTATAGAAAGCAACCAGCATTGAAGCCCTAAGGATATTAGGTAAGAAAATGTCAGATGATACTGCTCCAAATTCCCCTTGCTAGTAGTTCTACTAATTAATACAGTTAAGATCCCAGTGCTGTGTTTTTTATGGCTACTAAAGGAAATGATTTTTGGCACCCACAAGCTCCTTGGCTGTTTCTAAATGCCGCCAGAGCTAAGGGGATATTTGTTTACTCTTTGTCAGGGTGTTTACATGCCCTGGCTTGGGCCATGAGCGAAAATGTATTTGATGATCTCCTGGTCTCACCCCAGTCCCTAATGGATGTTTGTCTAAATGACAGCACCCAGTTTAGCACTGTTAACACTCCAGTTAGTAGGCGGGAGAGTGTGGGCTGTGTGTGACAGTCGGGGGCATGGATGGCAGGGTCAGGAACCTTCTCTGAAGGAAACACTTCCTCCTCCAGGATCCAGTTCTGGAAGCACCTTTGTGTTTTCTCTGTCTCCTACTGCCTTAATTTAGGAGTCAGACCATAAATATTCATTGAATCAGAGAATCTCACAACTTCATTATTACTCCTCTAAATACAGTGCTGGACTTTCTCTAAGGAGCCCAGATCTCTCAGCCTTGACAAGGACAAGCTTACAACAATTGGATAGTGCCATCCAGGATAGGGACGGTGGGCTGCCGTCTGGGGTCAGTTCATATTGTATTATGCAAAACGTCCCTTTGTAGGTTTGATCATGAGCTTGATTCACATAGCCAGCCACTTTCCAGATACGTGGCTTCCATAGAGTAGTTAGCAAAATACACACGCATTTCCTTTTTGTTCACCATTGTCCCAAGCACTGTATGTGGATGTGTTGGACGCAGTGGGGCCTTTCAGGAAACAGCAGGACAATGCTAGGCAGAGCATGACAGGTCTTTAGAGGGACATGCCTGCTCTAACCCAGGCCCACAAGCAGACGACGGACTGAAAGGGGGAGCCATGAATTGAGCGTTGACAGCGGGCCACGGCGGTCCGAAGGCTCAGGTGGTTGTCAGCCATAAGTTTAGCTCAGCTCTTTGAGTAATTTGTCACGCCTCGCTCAGCCCCTGCTGGGCCAGCACGTGCCAGCTTAGTGTCAGAGTGCCTGTTCGCCAGACGGCCACTCAGGCCTAACGTCCTGCTGTTCCCCGGACCAGCGGCTTGCTGGGGCCATGCACGGAGGGCCGAGCCATGGCGACAGCCAAGTGCTGTGCAGAATAAGTGTGTTCATAATGAGACGTGAATGGCATTAGTGGGTCCCTCTAGAATTGGGCCTGAGCAGGCGCCTCTCGCTGAGGAAGTTTGGCAGCCTGTTCATTAAGGCGAGTCACCAGGAGTTCAGCCCACAGTCGAGAAGCCAGTTCAGGCTTATGCTGCCCAGGCCTTGGGCGGTTATGTCCATCTATATAAAAGATCATAAATCATTAGAGGGGCCACTTTGGAAATCTTCAAACTTATTTTCCTTGCTTGAGGTTGCATAGAGCAAGCTTATGGAGAAATTCTGGCAGCACGCTGTGCAGTAGTGCTTTCCACGGTGACAGGCATGTCCTATATCTGTGCAATCCAGGATAGAACCCCTAGCCACATGTGGCTATTGAGTGCTTAAAATATATCTAGGTGGGGCAGGGGGTGGTGGGGGGCAAAGCAACTGAATTGTAGCTTTTTATTTTAATTAATTCAGATTTAAAATGAGATAGCCACGTGTGGCTCGTGGCTACTGTATGGGATAGCACAGCCCTAGAATGCCTCTGGTCTCCTTATGGTATGAAAATTTTCCTCTGAATATAACTGAGGGAGTAGGGAGAGGAAGAGCCTGCGTTTAGAGATCGGTGTGCACCCTTTGCCATAAGAAAGTAGAAAAGTATTTGGCCATTTAAAAACACATGCTGTCTTGAAAGCTGATTGAAAGGGCATAATTGTCACCAACTTGTATTTTTAAAGAGGCCGTTTTGAAAAGATAGTTTGAAAATGTAGTGAGAAATGCTAGAGTTACGTTTCTTCTTCTGGAGCTGCAAATAATAAACTGATGGTGATCTACATTCCCTGTGTTCCTGGAGAATTAGCATGATTTTCAAAATGACTGAAACATGTCTTTTAACTTTTGCATTGATAATGAGGAAGGGGAAAATGAGACGTCATGCGGACTTCCCCAAGTGTTAATTCATAACGTCGTATGTGCAGTGCCTCCATCCATTGTCGGATTGTTCTGACGTTATCCTGTTATTGGAAGTGCATGATTCACCTTCTGAGGAAACAGAAGCCACACACAAAAGGGGAAGATTTGCTTTTTGCCCTGTGAAAGCCTGCCACACGCAGGGGTCCTATTAAGACAGCTGGAAAGTTGCTTCAGTGTGTTACGCTTGTAAGTTTTATTGGTGACTGGTTTTTGATTACACATTTGAATGCTGTGTGTTCCAGAGTGCAGTTTTAATTAAAAGGCAGTAGTCTTTTTTAAAAAAATTGCACTGTACACTCTTGATAGATTCTCTCACATAGTAGTTCTTATTTTCCAATGTTCACAGCTTGTCTTGGTTAGAGGCTCTGATGCCCCCTCAAGGTATATCTTCCTAGCCTTCTCTCTTCCCAGTAACTTGCATCTTCTTATTTTTAAGAAGCGTCTGCACTGTTGTATTACCAAGTTGCTTGAAGTATCAACTCATGTCAATAGGCTAAGAATGTTTTATCCACTGAAATAGGACATAAAAGATCTACCATTGTCAGTGGAAAGAGATGCCGTTGCAATCAGTGTCTCCTGTTTTTGTTTAAATCAACCCTAATGATCTTATGATGTTATTCTGTAACTGTTGCCTTACATGTTTTTTAGTATTACTAGTATTAAATGCAATTAAAGTCTAAGAGAAACTTAGGTCTGAAAACCAGAATTTTGGTATGAATTATGACTAATATTTAATTTTCTGCAAGATGGTAAAGAACCTGCAGGATACTTTTTTACACAGAAAAAAATGCACAACAGTATTAAAAGTGAATTCTGCCACTGCTCTGTATGCCACTTTGCACACGCACTTTTTCCTTAACTGGTTACCGCAGCTATGAAGAGCGAGCTCTGTATCTCGAAGCAATAATTCAGAACCACCGCGAAGTCATGACATTCGAGGATTTCGCAGCCCAAGTCTTTTCTCCCTCTCCCAGCTACTCCCTCAGCGGAACGGGTGAGTGTCTACATTATTCTTCTCTCACGCGCTTAAGACGCATTCAAGCAGCAGATGTACACCTGTTTTTCACAGATAAATGCTTGCAAATTTAAGAAGAGCATTCTCCCTCTGAATCAACTAATGAATATCAAAAGGAATGATGACATTCATTTTAATTTGTTTTGTATTCGAGCTGTTCACTCAGTTCCTTTCTTCAGCTATCCTGTTAACCTTCAAATCTAGCAAGGTTAATGAACTTTTTCTCAGTAATGTGCTCCGGTTCATTCAGGAGTGTGGGTTTCTTGCTGAGCTGGGAATATGTTGTTTAAAAACGATGCCCGAATCAGTGCTTACTTATCAAAAAAGAGTTCCTCACAGTGGAAGCCGTTGCTACTAATGCTAAATGGGGATTATGCTGCCGAGATACGAGGGTCAGGGATTAATGCAGGAGACATGGAAGGACAGTGTCCCGGGGTCCATCATTACAGCAATGCAGTGTGCGTGTGTCTCTCTGGAGTGGTCTGTGTCATGTGGACAAGCCGCCGACCGGAGCAGCACCTGGTGTGGAACCCGTTTAGAAACTAGCTTAGAATAATTTTCATTTATTAGGGCCAGTGGAAAATTGTGAAAGTTTCCATAGATTTCCTTGTTTTTAGGTTTTTAATTCTTTTTCTATTTCCAGCTTGGGGGGAAAAATACACGTACCGCCACTTAAACAGATTATATGATTACTGTGTGTTTCTTTCAAATAATAGAATTATTACTTGTAAATTTCTGCATATAATTACAGATTAATTGCCTTTCAGAGAGTAAATGGGATATTTAGCCAATGCATGTTGAAATTCTCAGTGAGGAGCTTCCTTCTTCCACTGCTTTAGATACAACTGTTAGAGTGCTTAATAGATTTCTAACCTGTGTCAATTGTCTCTGAACACTGCCTTACTTCTCCTATTCTGATTCGTTAACAAATATCTTATACACAAAGTGAAAAAAATTAAATCCAGTGAAATAAATCACTTACAAATAAAATCAGCCATGCATCATTGTTTAACATCGCTGGCCTCAATCCTTGCCTCTCCGAGCTTTGTTGGGAGATAAGAGGGAGAGGCACGCACTTGCGCAGGGAGCCAGGAGCAGCAGGCAGAAGGCTTGGGAGATAAGCAGGCTGGCAGAGGTGCAGGAGCAGCGCGATTTGCATAATCACGCCTCTGCTTCCTGGTGAGGCGTCAAGGAACACTGGGATGGCCTCTATTGATCTTTGTTGAACTGGAATACTAAGCAACATGAGAAAAGCTTATAACTTAAAGCTTTGATTAATGTTTCTTACATTAAAAAAGTGGAACAGCTGTGAATTGAATTCTTTTATACACTCTGCCAACATTCTATCTAAGACAAAAAAAAATTCGTTTCAAGGGAAATGAAGATTTCATACTCAGTCTGGCTAGAGATTTTAAATTGTTTCTAATTTTTCAGTGCAAGAACATGAGGGATCTGTAGCAAAGCTAATTTTAAAAAGATCTCATTCAGCTTTTTCCCACCCTCATGAGATTATTCCCCTCTTCGTGAGGACTTGATTTTTCAGTGCAGGTTGTTTTTTGTTTCTTGTTTTTTTGTTTGTTTGTTTCTTTTAACTCTTGAGAAAGCTTTTTATTTCTTAAAATTAAACATGTAAATAATAACTAGATGTTTTCATTCCTTAACTGTTACATTCTTAAGATTATTAAGATATTATCAAAATGAATAATGATGGACCTTGTTTTCTATGTATATTTTAGCCTCTGTATAAACTAATTTGATCTTTTCCAAACATTCATAATTATTTAAACCAATTGAAATGAGGGAGATTCTAGAAGCAATTCGAGTTTTTAAGAACTCTACTTGGAGAGGATTGTCAGTGGGCTTCTTCAAGAATGTCATATTTTTGAAAATTGCTTACCAGAATAAAGATTCTGACAGCATGTGAGGGTGGGCATTGGAACTTTTCTAAAAGGAATGTGAAACCAAACATGGAATATCAAGACAAATGCTACTCCCTCCACTTTTCAAATTATTAACATCAGTATTACATTTCATAGTGTTCATGGTTTAAGGTATTCAGTGTTGAGTGGGAAAATTTTTTATATGTCTATCATACCTATCCTTAAGTGTGATTTTTAAGTCTAGGCATAATGTTCTGTTTTAATTCTTTGCATATCTCCTCATAACGCTGAGCAGGAAGGAAGTAGATATAATCTTGATTTGAACTGAAATGTGGGGCAGTACAATGAGGACGGAGCATTTCAGCACCATAGACAAGCACGTTTTCAGAAGCATCTTCTCATTTACATACTGGCTTCGCTTTTGAAGAATCCCTGTCCACTATCTGCTACTACTTCTACAGATGAAAACATTTGTCATTTGTTTACACTGTTATGTTCTTGGGACAAGTGCGATCAAACCCAGATGAGCCAGCCAGCTTAAACTAAGAAATTGAGGTGAAGTCTGTTCTTCCAAGCAACAAGCCAACTGGAAAAATTGACCCTGAGCGGCTTAAGCTCCCACAGTGCACTTAGGACCCAATCAGACCATCTCTGGCCCTCAGTGTCATCAAAGCAGGGCCTTGGGCTTGGGCTCACATGCATATGCACAATCTGAGGAATTAGGGGCTCCTAGGTTTTCTTTGTATCCTCACCACAAGGGGCTTTATTATTAATGAAGAGGGAGCGTCACCTGAACACTGCATTCATTCCACACTGTATTGGTAGCAGCAAGCCAGAAAGCAGCATGCAGCCCCCACTTCTAGAGGGAAAGCCCCAATATCAGCCTTTAAGTCTGAAGTGAAAGTGGGAGATGTGCTCAGTGGGAGTGGCCTGTGCCTGAAGGTTCCACTGTTGGAAAATGCCCTCTGCCTCTGACTTCCCCCATCCAGGTGCCATTACCCATCCGCCCAACAAGCCCTGTGGGGACGGGGTTGGCCAGGTGAACAGACTTCCGTTCAGGATGTGCTGTCAACCACACATGGTGATGTAGCTGCTAATATATGAGTGCTCAGCTTTTTTCAAAGAGCTTTCAAAACAAAATCTATTTTCCTAATCAGAAAATATTTTTAAAGACCATCATGTCTACCTTGTATCTATTCCATCCATTACTTGTATTGATAACACCTGACATGTAAAGATATTTCAACTACTTTTTTACCCAGCACTGTAGTTTACCTTCCTTTTTTGACCAGCAATAAATATAAATAATCTAAAAGGTAGCTAGTGTTAAAATATTGGTTGCAGTTAACATATATATGTTTTATGTATAAATACATTTATATACACATGTACATTTCTCTCTTTCTCACACACACACACATATTGAGGTGGGGGACTAAATTTGTGTTTTCAATCATATCACCAAGAAAGAGGGACCAGCAGAGAGGCCTTGAAAGGGTTAACTGGAATGGGCACCCTCGACTGCTGGGAGGGACTGATGTAATCACTGCAGCTCACAGCCAAGTGCATCTGTTCACCATGAGGTCATTCTTCTGCATGCTAATGATTTGGAAAATCAAGTCTAGTGTTTGACATTATCAGAAAAGATATAAATAGTGTAAATCTTTACTTTTTGGAAGTTGCTCTTATAAAAGAGAAAAAAGGAACTTTACATTGGACCTGAGATTTTTTTTCAGAACTGCCTTAAAGGTTGTGTCTGGATCTAAAAATCTTGGAGGAATCCACTTGTGTCTGCTGATAAATCAATCCCCAGATCACTATTTCAGTCACAGCTAGCAATCTGGTAGCCAAGGGCTACAGGTATGTCTCATTTCATATCTAATTTTAAGAATTTCCAAGTGCCTTTGTCCAAAGTCAATAAAGATAGATTTTTCCCAAAGAATGTTCAAAACCAAGTTAAATGAGTGGTTCTTCTCAGAATACCCAAACTGACTTGTGTTTACTGAAGATGCCAATACTACGTATGGTTCCTTTCTCCTTCAATATTGCTATAGAGAGCCAGCAGAGGGAGCACAGATCTTTGTTTATTTGTTAGCCCTGCATAAACACAGCATTTGATTTCTCCAAGATACGGTCAGAAATACTTCCTCCTTTATGATAGGCTGGATTGTAAAGGCTCCAGGATTTAGAACAAGTGGGAGAAAATTCCCACTATGCTTCATCAGAGTCTGCCACTTTTAATGTAGGTCGTATTTGGAGCTTAAACCAGATTAGTCTGAGTCGGTCTTAGGATGCCGCTGCCATTCCTGCTATTGCACAAAACTGCAAACTTTTATCTTTCACACAATTGCTTGGACGCCCTCGTGGAAAGGGTTATTTATGCCACTTACCTAATGAAAAAGACTTTTGTAGCTTTTCTTCTACAACACGGTCATTATGTTAAGTTTGCAGAACCTTTACCAGAAGACTCTGCCTGGTGTCACTGAGTCATTTTGGTGGGCAGTAAAATCTTCTCCTAAAACTGCAAATGGAGGCACTTATGTTACACATTTGCCTCAAAGCATATCTATGATGTAGACACTACACAAACTCCTCTTAGAACTTACCAGCCTTTGCCCAGAGAGATACGGCTACACCCAGCTTTTGCTTGGTAAGGCCTCCGCACCGTATGCAGTCTTGTCATTCTGCATGCAGTCCTGACAGGTAATCTTCCTTGGCTCTTTCACCAAGCAGTTAATAATCAGGTTAACTCCTAGAAACAGCACCAGTAAATCCTAACCCAAACCCCAAAAAAGAGTTTCCCCACTCATTGAAAGGATAGTCATGTGACAGACTCGTTCCATTTGTATTCATTCTCTCCCTGTTAAAGTGGTCTTAATACGGTTTTAATCAATAGTACTTCTTTTGAATCGTATGTGTTCAACTTCCCCATAACTTTGCTGAAGCCAGCAAAGAACATCACAGAATGCTGAACTAGAAGGGACTTCAGGAAAGATCATGTCTAACCCTGTCACATTAATTTTGAGCGAGCTGAAGACCAACCCATGAAATGACCACCGAAGGTCATGGGCAAGTTGGAATCAGGGCCAACTCAACCTT